TTTGAGAATTATATTTCCGTGTATAAAAAAATGTCCTTGTTTTGTTTTTGAGAATTGCACTTCCGATCCACATAACCTTCGTTCTGTAAATTGGAAATTTTCGAATATGAAATTTCAGAAGCATAGTCACAGGTAGCATATGTATTAGAATTAATAATAATGCTAATTTAATGCTAACAGCTTGGCATTAATTAATTCTAATATAAATAAAATCTAAACAGAAAAGTTAATTTTAATATTAATGCCTAAAACATTAGCATTATTTTAATACAAATATTAATCTGATACTTCTAACCAGAAGCAGTAAATTAGAAACAGAATTTTTTGTTATTTTCGAATATATGTTCAGATTTTCTTACTGTAGTAAGTTTTATGAAACAAAACAAAATTGTGTCTGTACAAAGAAATATAACGGTTTTGGTGTAGTTCTTACTTTGTGTTTTACAATAGTTTCAACTTAACATTATTGTAGTGTATCGAATTCTGTAGAACATGCGTTATTGCAATATGCGAAATCTAATCTGCGCATTTCCATTGAAGAGCTAGTTTCTATAGAAATCAACACTTCCAAAAAAAAAAAGTCGCTTTTCTTTTAAAAATACAAAAGTTTAAAAATCTGCCGAATTTGATACGTTTTAATCGAAATACATAAATAGAATTCTGTATGAAAATTATCTTAGATTTTTTCAAATAATCCAATGATCGTTATTCAATTTTACTCCTAAAGGATATTCTGAACATATATTCGAAAATATGCTTTTAGCTCTATCCAATTGTCTTTAAGTGACCAAAATATAAATGAATATTTTATGCCAAGACTTCAGCGTCATATGTTAATTCATTTTAAAGATTTTGATACTTCGTGAATTCTCATCAGTATTCAACTATATTTAAACTATTATATGAATATAGAAAAAAAAAACATGTTAATATATACAAAAAAAAAAAACACAAGTATTGAAGATCATTGTAAAAGAATATCTACAATCAGACATAAAAGTATAAAAAAATACAAATAGAAATGAGATATTGATATTGCTTTATTAAATGGTCGAATATAAGAACTAGGTCGTAATTCAGTCCAAGCACTAGCTTGTCGTTTACTTTCATCCATAACAATTAATGTATATATACCAAAATCACTTGGTTCAACATTTTTAATAATTAATCGACTACCATAACGACTATCAATTGAATCTGCTGCAACATTTGTATCAATACGATATTTTGCTCCATTTGCTATAGCACGACGAACATTTGTATTACCTTGTGAAAATTCCCATTTTAATATATTCATTGGATATGCTTCACCTAAACACATTATTTCAGCATCAGCATTTATATTTGGTACTTGTTCAACAACAACTTGATCACATATTACAGTTGGATCAAAATCAACAAATATATTAACATAATTTTCTGCTGTTAATTTTTTTCCTGTTGGTTGTTCAGCAACACATTTATATAAACCTCGATCATCTTTACTAACACTGTCAATTCTATATATTCCACTATATGATGTTGGATATTCTTGTCCTTGTCGTATCCACATTAGTAATGGTTGTGGATTACCTTGTGCACGACATTCAAGTGTAACAGGATCACCAGCACGTACTTGAACATCAGTAGTTATATATGATATTGATGGTGGTACAAGGACATTAATTGTACGTTCAAGACGTACTTGTGCTTCTGTATTTGCTAATTCACAACGAACAACACCTGAATCAGATTCTTGTACAGGACGAAAAACAATTTCATAAACTTCTTCGGATTCTTTTCGTGCACTTACACGACCACTTAAAGTATCACGAACTGAACCACCAAATGCTAATATACGAAAATCACGATCTTGATCTTAAATAATAATAATAAAATTTATATTTAAGAAATTAATTCTGTTTTTCTTCTAAATTATTCTTACTATATCGTCTTATACTCCATAATAATTGTGTTGGATATTGTGCAAATGGATCAACATTAATTAAAAAACAACGAATTTTTAAACTTTCACCAACATTTGGATTTGGTGGATCAGCTTCAATTTTTTGTATTTGTACAGAACTTTGTTGACAAGAGATTTGTTTAATTAAAATAATAAATAATGTCAATTGATAAATTAAATACATCTACAAATTAAGATCATCAGTTCAGATTTTTTTCTTTAATACCAACACATAGAAATATAAAAGCATGGAATAGATTAACAAGAATTGTTTTTTTTTTAGAGAAAGAACAAAGAAGAAAAAAACAAGCAAACTTTTGAGATGAAAAGTGTGATGATAATTTTAATAATCAGTATGTGATATGACTTAAGACTATATAAATAAAATGCAAGGAACCAACAAAAATAAGAAGCAACGCTTAAATAATAATAATAATAATAATAATAATGATCATAATAATATCAATAATCACAATATTCGTTCGGAAAAAAAAGTGAGACTAATAATAATTGAATTATACATTAATTTTATTTGCTTCCGGCAGATACATTTCCCAAATTTCTAAGATTTTTTCTTGTTGTTCTAATAATTGTTTTAAATAATTCTCAATAGCTTTTTTAAAATCTTCAATACGTGCTTGTTCAAAAACATCTAATTCTTGTCGAATTGATATTGATATACGTTCAAAATCTTCTTTATTATGTGTTACTTTTCCTTCCCATTCATTTATTTCCATTTCAGCTTGTGGTAATTTATCAGCACCTTTAGGTGTTTGCTCTAGTTTAGACTTATTTTCACGTTTTTTTCTTAATGTATCTTCAGCATTTAACCATTGTTGATGTATTTTAATACGTTCTTGAAATGCTAATTGTACCATTTCTAATAATGATATATATTCTTTAATTAATTCACTTATAATTGTATATTCTTTTAATGAATGATCAATATTAATTTGTTCAATTTTATCTTGAACATTAGCTAATTCAATTAAAGCACTTGATAATAATGTATGTTCTTCAATAGTTGCTAAATGATTTAATGATGTTGATAAACTTTTTAATGCTTGTGCTGATTCTTTACGTTGATGAAATAATGTATTAAAATGATTAAATAAATGTTTTAAATTTGTATGTAAATCAAGTATAAATATATGTTTTTCTTCAAACCATTGATCTTGTTCACTTGTTTTAGTTGTTAATTTAGTAACTTGTTGTGAAAGATTTGTTAATGCACGTAAAACACCAGCACTACTTAATGCTTGAGTATTTGTTGATTTAGGTAATTCAGTTGGCATTTCAATAAATTCACGAAAATCTGGATCTTGAACTAATTTTTCATGTCGTGCTAAACGATTTAAATAACGTTCTAATTGTGAACGACGACGATCAATAAAATCTGTTGGTATTGCTTCTTCTTTAGATATTTTAACTTTAGCCATAACGAATGTATCTTTTTCTGGTGGTGATGGAATAATAACACCTAATTGAAGATGTTTATGAACAAGTTTATTATGTAAACCAAGAAAATCACTAAAACGACGATTAACAGAAAATTCTTTTTTTTTAAACATTGCTAATGTTGTTTTTGTTGTTATACGATATGTCATATATGATGACATGCCCTAAAACAAAAAAAAATACTTTTTTTAAATAAATAGTTATAATAAATGTTTAAAAATTATATTAAAGAAAAACCATGTACATACTTCTCCAACTTTTGTAGGATCACTAACAGTAATTTCAATATTATGTTCATCAGATCTTTGTGTTGGGTTCATATTTGTTGTTATACCAATCGTTCCACTAGCTATAGGTTTTGATACTTGTGCCGATGTTGAAGATTGACTTTCTATTGATGCTGTTGGGTGAACAGGTTGAGTCATCGATGTATTTGTTTCTGCTGAACTCACACTTGAATCCCTGGAAAATAATTGATTATCTTGTTTTACTGGTGTTGGTAATTGTGGTTCCGATATAGCAATAGGTGTTACCGATGGAACATTGAATGGTGTTTCATTATTAGTAGATGATTCATTAACATTTATTGGAGGTTTTTTTTCTACTGATGGTTCACCAAACGGATTATCATTATCATCATTATCATCATCTTCTCCACTTAATGGAATATCATCAGTTACAGGTAATCTTGCTGATTTAAACATTTGATCATCATCTTTTGTATCATCATCAGCAAATTCTGGTGGTGAATGACGATGTTCATGTTCATTCGACATGTTTTCTTTTTTAATATAAATATATCTACAAAGTATTGAGACAATCACGAGATTTTTTTAAAAAGGTTTCTTTCCTGGATAGTTTTTTTTTTTCTGTTTTTTTCGTTTTCATGTAAGTTATGCATATGCAAAGAAAAAAAGAAAAGAAACTGCTGTCTGTAACATCATTTGAACTAGAGAAACAAGTAGAAGTCAAGAAAAGAAATAGGAGAAGAAAGAAAAAAAAAAAAAGAAAAGAAATAAACAAACAAACAAACAAACACAAAAGAATTTTTATCTCATTGCCATATGAATTTCTCTAACCATGTTTTGTTATAAGTGTGTATTACAGATGAGAAGGCAAAAGAAAAAAAATATATATATTTATAATAACATGTAAAAAGTTCTCCTAGATAAAACAGGTTATTGTTTTTTTTTTCACATGACAAGAGAAAAGTGATGATTGTAGAAAGGAAACACTGGAAAATAAAAATGTTCTTTTCCAATGATTGGCTTTTTTTTGTTTTACTTTTATTTCCACCATTATGCATAGAAAAATCTTTATGTTTAAGATTGTTGTTTTTGGAAATACTCACATACTGCTACAAAGAACGTTTAAGTAAAAAAGAACATAGAGAGAGAGAAAGAAAAGAACAACAGAAGAAAGACGATGACGACAGCAAAGTAACCATCAAATAACGATAGAAAGGAAAGAAAATGAACGTCTTATATAGCAGCATTTAAGTGTTACAGAGATTATATTCATCTCTCGATAGGAAATGATCACGATGGTGGATATGTTTTTTTTTTTTTTTGTTGTTTTTCTTTATTCTTGCTTTGATTTACTGATTATTTGTCGACACGCTACTGTTCACATTAAGCGGCGACGGAGACGTAGTCAAAGATATAGAGGCACCAGCTAAAATAAAATGTGAAATTGAATTTTTTTTTTCTATGTTTAATAAATTAAATGTTATTTACCATTGTTCGATAGTAAGACTTGAGGAGTAGCATTCATTGGACGACCTTGATCGCGTACAATTGGATCTAGATAGAAACAATATTCTAAGAATATTAAATATCAATATGAAAGAAAATACATACAAAAATAAGGATGATCCATAGCTTCTTTAGCTGTTAAACGATCATTATGATCATAACGTAGAAGTTTATCCAAAAAATCTAATGCTTCTTGACTAACGAGATGTTGATTTTCAGAATGAACAAATCGTTCCCATCTTTTTCGTGAATGTCTTTTTATATTTTTTTGAATAATATATTTTATAATTAGTTTAATAGAATAAAATTTTGTTTTTTATTCTTACCGGCCAAGAATTTCATTAAAACGTGGATCAAGTTCAATTTGATATTTTTCAAGATATTCATAAAGTTCATCGGTACCAAGTACTTTAGCAATTCGTACGAGCTATTTATTAATTTTAAAATAATATATATATATTTAAAATAATATACTCAAAACAAACTTGATCATAATTGTCATGACCATGAAAAAATGGTTCTTTACGAAAAATCATACTAGCCAACATACAACCTAAACTCCACATATCAAGTGAATAATCATAATATTGATAATCAACAAGTAATTCTGGTCCTTTAAAATAACGTGATGCAACTCGAACATTATATTCTTGATTTGGATGATAAAATTCAGCTAAACCCCAATCAATTAATCGTAACTAAACAAAATAATTAACATAGAAAACAACAATAGACCATTTTGTTTTTTTTTACCTTTCGATTTTCATGATCGATCATTACATTATGTGGCTAAAAGAAATTAATAATATTTCATTTTAATATTTTATTAAAATGCAAAGCAATATTTTACCTTTACATCACGATGCATGATGCCCATGCTATGACTATAATCGAGTGCCTAGTAAGAAAAAAACAAAAGTTGTTTTTAAAGATTCTAATCAAACGTGAAAAGTATTTATGCTTGCAATTAAAACATCATGCTGACACCTTAAATCTTTCGTTGATGTTTTGAAATAAAGTGAAAATTAGTAGTAGATCCAATGAACAGCGATGACCGCCTCTCTTTCTTTGCAATTGATATATGCTATAATTTAAGTATCTTTGTACTTTTGCAATATTTATAGAGACAAGTGGTTCTAGGTCGATGCATTGATATTTTTTTTCCAAATCTAAAAGTTGTTTTTCAAATTTACGCAATGTTATCGGTAATAAAAGCCATAGGCAAACAACACTTTTTCGACATTAAAGATAATAAAATCATATCTTCATAGTACTATGAATAATAATCATTTGAATGGACTAGCTTTGATGTATATATGTTCCATAATTGACATTGATATCGAACAAGTTATCTATAACTTCTCAAAAATGAACAATAGAATTTCTTGTATGATTTCATTCTTAGTTGTTTTCATAGATCGCAGCACATATGTGAACAATTGATAATAGAAAAATCTTCATGAAAATTGTCAATAACTTGTTCGCATCTACGATACTTTTACAAAATTTCCTAGATTCCGTCCGTGATGAGCATCGATATTAGTTCGAATAGTCTTTATTGGTTAGATTTATCTGTCTGAAGAACATTATTCATAAGTCAAAAATAACTTACGTGTTCAGTATATTTTTATGAAACGCTATCTACAAGCAGTGTGAAAGTATAGAGGTCAACGTTCGAATCCTCCCCCACATAGATCGTATGTCAATAATGCCTCATTATAATATATGAACTACTTCCTTGTTGCATTACTGGAGGATTAAGTAAGAGGATAGTGAAAAAATAAGTCCCAAAATAGATTGAATAAACAACTGCGTTGTGATTAACAAGAGCAGTTACATCGTGTTTTCACATTTTAATCCCGAAGGAATTATGCTAACAGCTTTTTTTTCCTATAAAAAAAAACCAGATAAACATAAGTTATCTTATATGAAGTACCTCTTATTCAAAGAAAATTCTTTTACTCTTAAAGATATTCTGTTAATGAATAATATTGAAAGAATCTTCATTTTGTCTTTTTTTTTTTGGTATTACAATTATCGATATAAACTTTGCAACTAAATTGTAATATTCTAATACGAGAAATCGTTTTAATTTCTCTAATCAATTCTGAACAAATGAATTTTTATCTTTGATTTTAATAGAAATCATATTTAATATCTCATTATATTTAAAAAGAAATACCTTCAACTATTCATTATAATAATTTATATTTATAAAAGTATATATTATGTAAATAGCTATAATTTCAACAATTCCTTCACTAGTTTTTGTAAGGTATCTATAAATAATCATCAAAAGAAAGGAATAGGTGTCTTCAAGAAAATAATTACGGTTTCTATCAAAAGAATTGAAGGTAAACATATATTTACAAATAAGTCTATATACGTACTTTAAGTAACTCGTACATATAATATCGAATGTCATAATCGGAAAGTGTAGGATAAAGTTGCTAAATCAATATGAAAAAAAAAAAAATTTTTTTTTGATTTTGAACAAAATGAAAAGTCTTTTATTTAATGCTTACTTTAAAATCAGTATTATTGACATTTTCAAATATAAGAGCGGGCGTTCTTGACTATAATAAAACAAAAAAAAAATAGAACAAAAAAATTTTCAGATAATCAAAACATACAACAGGATCTTTGACAATATCAAGTAGTGTAATAACATTTGGTCCACCACGTAAATTTTGCAAAATTTTTATTTCACGCTTTATTTTTTTCTTTTTAACTGGCTGCAAACAAGAAAATATATATATATATATATACTCATTTATAAAATAATTAAATTTAAATTTACTTTGAGAATTTTAATAACAACTTTTTCGTTATTTGTTATATTGATACCTTCGAATACTTCACTGTATTTTCCACGACCGAGCTTACGCACGATCTGATAATCATCTTGATTACTAAAATAAAATTAGACAACATCAATTTCTTGTTTTTTTTTTCTTGTTGTTGAATACATCTCTTTATTGACTTACCCCCACTCAACAACGTGCAGCTCGTAGTCGTAGTATTCGCTAAATAAATATATTTATATATTGATTAAATTATCTCTATAGAAATATAGTCGTACCGTGGTCGATGCGTATTGCAATCGGCATAAACGCGAGCTCGACTCGGTTGCGCCATCAAAAGTCGAACGGTGACAATGGCCAACCAGAGCAACGGAAGAAAAAAGGAACAATGGATCTGTAATTATTTCAATGCATAACAGGCAACTTTTTTCATAATTCAACAAAGACAATATGAGAAAAAAAGAGAGCGCTTTTAGCTTATTACTATATATATATTGAAGGTTACTGGTATCAAGCAATGTAAATAAACAGTCACAATGTGTTTTAGACGTGAGATGCCGCGCGATAACAATCCATGCCCAAAATAAAAAAGAAATTGTCTAGTAGGAGAACAGCAATAAGAAAAAAAATGACGTGCTTGGTTGATTTATTTTTAGTAGCCTCTACGAAAAAGAATGAACTTACTCTACGACAGGAAGACACTTTTAGTGGATTTAAGATCTATTTCTAAGAAAAAGATATAATACTAAAAAAATTATACAGCATATACATGTATATACAGAGAAAGAGAGGTTTTCCTTATTGGTTTGATGATTAATAAATTGTTACACATGCTTGTCTCTATCTTTTGAGCAAGATCGATTATTATAACTGACCCCTGTTAACCATTATTGTCGAAGTGATATCCTCTTTTTACTTTTTAATTATAATGATGAAAACTATATAAAGAAAAATTTTTATTTTTTTGAATAGTTTAATAGTTTTCTCGGAAAGATTTATTTATTGTTTTATTTTATATAATGAAAACAAGTGTAAAAGCAATGTAGATGTCACTAGCTATCGATCTTGTTATAAAAGTTGGCGTACGAGAAATATAAGCCTATAGAAACATGACAAACTCATATTGCATCATTTACAAGATTTCATTTTTTTGTGGTTTATGTGAAAAAACCAGTATGGAATCATTTTCATTTTATTCAGTATGCGTTTGCCTGAATTTGTCCTAATGTTACTTCTTTTAGGACATATAATTACAACAGGTTTGTAATTTTGGTAAAACGCAATTGTGATTTTTCTCTTCTGTATTAGGCAAACTAAGTGGATTACAATATGTGACACAAATTTTGAGAAAAATTTTAAAAAATCGTGATACTAATAAATTCAAAAGTCAAAAAGAAGAATTATTATTTACTGTAGATATGATCTATGGAACTTCTTATGAAAATTGGATGTCTCACATAGAACGAACAAAAGCATCGATTAATAATTAATAAATAAAACAATTCATTTTCGTTAAATATATTGCAATATGAATATATGAACATATTTTTTGAATTATATTGATATTTGATTTAATTTAATTTAATTATTAAAGAAAGTTGATGAATGTCAACGATTAGAAAATATTTTCGAACAAAAACTCGAAGGTCTCAATCAAATCAGCTTTTTAAAAGATCTATTGGAGCGATATGAAAAGAGAATTTATATCTCTCCAGATGTTGGATGCACTGATGTCAAGAATTTGTTGGAAAATTGAAACTGAAATTTTTCATACCCTAGAATCCGCAAATGTAATTGTGCTTGAGTTACTCAAAACAACAGAGCAAACAATTCTCTACAAAATGAAACGTCTTCCAGCTCTTTATAACGTTTCCTGCCCGAGATACATCAATCTTACAGAAGGCACAAATAATGATGTTTGTATAGAAAATAGCAGAAAAAAAAATGAGTTTTGTGTCTTCCATAAGATTAATGTGTCTCGGTCAAAAAATATCATCTACAACTGGAAGACGTGTCATTTTCTAGAGAATTATTTGTTTTTAGTATTCTTGGTGTATCAAACAGAATTCTATCGGTGAATTTCAGGAGATGAAATATTTGGGTTCCAGTCTCTCAGACATCTTATCTTTGGAATGCGAACAATCAGTTTCATTTTCGAGAATTCTTATCGAAAATGAAATTCTCTATACAAATCATTATTTGCATTTCGATTAGAATTCATAACAGTGGAAAAAATTGAAAACAAACCTAGTCGAATAATTTTGGGTGCTATTATATGTAAAAGTGATGAAATACAGTGGGGGGGCATAAGTCTCGCTCCACTTTTGTATTTTGAGTCGTCCATTTGAACTAAACAACGTTGATTTAATTTGATTACATATTCTTGTAGCGGAGATCGAGCACTATCTAAATACACCTGTTCCATACGGAAAACTCTCGGAATATAAAATAAAATAGGCAAAGCAATCTTCAGTCCTACGAAAAAAATGACACAAAAAAAAGACAAAGTGATATTGTTGTCACATGCACGATCAACTACAAAATAAACGATACTATTGAGAAAAGTTCTTCATTTATCATACTTTGTAGAGCTTTTTTGTGCTGATTATTTTCATAAAAAAATATTTTAAATTTTGATGCAGAAGTGACAGTTTTATAATCAAAATATTAAACACTATGGTTCGAAACGTTAAAAGCATAAGTTGTTTTGCATATATCCCTGCACAAACAAATGATAAAGCTTTGGTTTTTTCATCAAAAGATGCGTCGTGACAAGTGCTATAAAAATTGTAGAAACCAATTTCCATTCATCCGTACTGATGATTTCTTTCGCATTCGAAATGAAAAAAGTACATAAGAGTGCTACTTTTCACCTAATAAAAATGGTTGAAAGACTTTCATATTTTGCATATATCTCGACTCGAGATAACGATAGCACCTTGATTTTTCTTTCAGAAGATGCAGCGTCAAAAGCTCGACAAAAACAGCGTAAACAAATTTCTATTGCATAGAAAAGTCTTCTTAACATTTTTTATTATCACTTTGTCTTTTTTTGTATCATTTTTTTCGTAGGACTGAAGATTGCTTTGCCTATTTTATTTTATATTCCGAGAGTTTTCCGTATGGAACAAGTGTATTCAGATAGTGCTCGATCTCCGCTACAAGAATATATAATCAAATTAAATCAACGTTGTTTAGTTCAAATGGACGACTGAAAATACAAAAGTGGGGCGAGACTTATGACCCCCACTGTATGTTAATCGTTATTCGAGAAATAATCTCTTTTCTATTATGAGAAATTATTGGTACTTCGTTCTGCAAGTGTCTTAGTCACTGCATAGATCTTTTACTGTTTTTTTTTCAATCTTTCCACTTTAATGATATTCGAGAATTTATTGTTTTTCCAAGCATGAATTCTTTTTTTTGTTTATTATACTGAAATGGTCGAAATTGAATACGTAATAGATATTATATTAGACAGTCGACCGGATCACGTTCAAGTAATTAGTATTCTATGAAAAATAATCACTACATGCTCTCTATTGTCGGTAAAAGAAAATGAAGGAAACAACATCCAATATCATAGAGCTAAGTCTATATTGAATATTTTCATATTTCTTTCCTTAATTTCATTTTATTAAACTAACATTAAACTGCAATCAATGAAGTAACAATTAGTGATGCAGTTTATGGCAATAGTAATTTTTTGATTATTTTATTAAGGACGATGATTCAATTATCTGATAGAATTAATAGTAATGATACTTTTATTTTGTTATGTTTGGTTCGTCAATTTTTTTTCACTTCAATGAAAGCAGTACAAAAATTATGGTGAAATGAAGTACAGAATTTACATGAACTTTCTTGATATGCGGACCAAACTATTTGTTAGCGACGTGGCTTCGAAAAATTAAAACATGTACATCTCGAGATAATAAACTTTTCTAGAGCTAATGTTTATATATTACTTGTACGTTAAGTTATTCTAGATACTCTAAAACAATCAGCGTAAGAAAGCTTTGTTCACAGAAGTTATCAGTAAAACATTAATATTAGTGACATAACACAGAATTTCACGTCATCCATTTTAGTTTGAAAAAATTACGAATCGAGGAAGCATTTTTCGAAACTAGGTAGCACATTCTTTGTATAACTTCAGAAGGCTACAAAATCACTGTCCAAAATTTTTCGGACCATTTTTAAATTTTTCAAAAAACTGAGAGTTCGGTAGGGTTTGTAGAAAATCGGTTTTTAAGAGATAGCTTTTTGGAATTCAATCTTGCTGAAAATTTCACTATCAGTCTGCATAAAAACAAAATAGCTGGTATTAGAATCATTGCTGTCGATTTATTGAATTCTAATCTCTTTATTCTCCTCATTAGTTGAGATTGTTCTTCGACTTTGCTTACTTGTCTTAGTTTCCTTTCTTCTTTCATCATCTTTTGTTTTAGTTTTTATATTCATTACACTACCATAGGACATTGAAGAACATGATTATCTTTGTTTAGATATTTTCCGTGATTTAGAACATGTTGAACTGGTATAAAGTCAGTCATCAATGCGAAACGAATGATAGCGCTTATATCTTACACGAAAAACTTATCTTCTCATTTTTTTCCTTTATTGAATAGTTTAAGTGAATGATTAAGGTGTGTCTATTCAGAAAACTATCAAATCATTGTTACAGTTTTAGAAAAAGAATTCCAGCTTTGTTGCTTCAAATCACAATAGTCCTACCAAAACCCGTAGCAAGATATACTCTCTATTATGATAAGACTACATAGAAAAAATACTGAAACGTTTGTTCTAATTTTGACTTTGAATAATCAAGTATCTATGACAATTCTCTTGCATGTTAATCTCAAAAATAAAGTAATTCAAAGAATAATTAGAAAAGAAGGAGTTTTTTTTTGTAAACGTCTTTCTATTTTGTGTAAGTTTGAATGCTTTTATCATCCAATATAGCAACTTCAGCACACCAGTAAAATATCTACGAAGTAAGAATACAATGATCTTTATATCTTTTGCATTAATTTTATGTCATATTGTCCTAGTTAAGCTTAGCATTGACAAATAGTTTATGTCAGCAATATATTTGAATAAGGATCAAAATAGACACAAGATATTCACTATCTTCCACTTCACTCATTTTTAATGTGTCTTATCCGTTTATTTGTCACGTGAAAAAAAGACAAAAAAAACCGTAGCTAATAAAATAGAGCGTCGCAAAAAGGTGTTTAAAGCATTAAATGACTTGAGTGCTATGACAGAAGTTGAGATAAGTTTTGTTTCAATTTAAGAGTATCATTCCATTTTTTTTACTTGAAGATATTATGAACATAGTCAAAACTATCTTGTAATAATGAATGATTATCCATCATTTACATTGAATCCTTTGATTAAAAGAAATGGTAATATATTTAACAATATACAGTTTGTAAATTTTATTTTCTTAAACGAAAACAATTGGTTGAAAAAAAAGGTAAGACAAAACTGCTGATGATGAGCAACAAAAACACAAGAGATGAAATATGTGATGCTCAAACATATCTCTTATATTAGTTTCAATATAGCAAAATAGATCGAATCATCATTCTTTTGAATATTAAATGAAATGTTAATCTCATGAAATTAAGCATAAAATTCTTCCGATGCTTTTATCACTAAAGAAAATGTTATGCTTTCAGGCAAAGCTATGAATAATATTTCTTTTAGATTTATGTCCAATTAAGAAGACTAATTATTTCAAGTACTTCACATTATTTTTTGATGATTCATTCATTATATTCAATGAATATATTCAAAAGATATTTGACGCATATTGATTCATTTGAACAAAACGAAATTGACAAATGTAGTGTAAATAACAAATATTGATTCACAAAACCGTTCACATAAATCAAACTTTTTATTGGTAATCATTTTATATCTTGAATACCGTTTTCCGGTTAATGACAGAATGAGAAAAGCATTTCTTTTTATCTATTATTGATTTTTCACAATACACAAAACTTTCGTAATTCCCATCATTTCCTTCTTTACATGAAATACTTCATATAATTTCAAAAGAAATATTATTGGTACTTCTTCAGATTAGCGACATCACATCAACCACTCTCTTTGATGTATTCTGTCAGTTAGACCAATTAATATATAGGGTGTCGTCAATCTGGAGAAAAATCAAATTATTCATCTACTGAAATAATATATTCTAATACCTCATTATAATACTCAACACTTAGATATATTCTTCTTTTTTTTTTGTTTTTTCTTAACTACAACTTGACCCCAAAAGTCATGCTGAATTGACCTTAATCATTTAATTCTAAAGTAGACGAAGTCAAAACTATTTTATGACATTTTATATAAATTCTAGGCAAATAAGGTTTTTTTTTCTCCATTCACAAAAAGAACAACAAAGACAAGGTATATTGGTAAACTATGGATATAACACATTAGCTCATGAAATTTTATGATTGGATGATTAATGACTGAGCAAAAAGTAAACATACACACACACGCGCATATAATAATGACACTATTCCGTCGTTCGAGTTGTTTCTGTTTTCTTTCTGAATAATACCCAATCTATTGATTTATTCATGATTCCATTCATTATACAAAAGAAAAAAAAGAAATCTATTTCATAGTTAAGGATGTTTTTTGTTCCAATCACCTCTAAAAATCTTTTCTTTTTTGGTTGGTTATCTTATTTCATTATTCTTTTATTTGCACGTCGGCTTTTTTGTTTTTAGATATGTAGTTGAGCAGTACCCGACCAAGACACTTTCTACTTACTTCTTTCTGACTTTGGACTTTTACTTCTTGACTCTGGACGGTTTTCGACAAGGACGAGACCAAGACCAGGACATAAACTATTTCTTTCTCTATTATTCTCACTTTTCTTTTCTTATACGACATTGACACGTGACTTTATAAAAATAATCTAATAATGCAATTACTTGAACAAGCACAATCATTATTAAATTTTGATGCTCAAAAAACATTCGATGTTAATGTACTCGATGCTGTTATTAACGCCATGTATCGAGGACAGGGTGATGTCGTAAGTTATTCATCGGCTTGTTTTATTTTATTGATAAAATTTTTGTTTAAAGCAACGACAAGCAAGTGAAGTATTAAATGTTCTACGTGATCATCCTGATGCATGGACAAAGGTAGATAGTATTTTGGAATTTTCAAAATGCCAGGAAACAAAATATTATGCATTACAAATTCTTGAAAAAACAATTAAAACACGTTGGAAAGCTTTACCAAAAGAACAATGTGAAGGTTAGTAATAAATATTTCTTTGGTTTTACTTTTTTTGAATTTGAAAAAACAATGCTTTGATTTCTAGCAATCAAACAGTATATTGTTAGTTTGATCATCTCACATTCACAAAATCCTGAATTAATGGAACGTGAAAAAGTTTATTTAAATAAACTTGATATTATTCTCGTACAAGTAAATATTTGGAGTTTTTTTTAATTGTCTTTTAAATTCAAAGGAAATGTTGTTATTTATTTTTTAAGATATTAAAACATGAATGGCCAAATAAATGGCCAAATTTTGTTAGCGATATTGTTGAAGCGAGTAAAACTAGTGAATCAATGTGCCAAAATAATTTAGAAATTTTAAAACTTCTCAGGTTAAAAATCAAGATTTTTATTATTATATTGAGTTTTGATTATTTATTTTTTGTTTTATAGTGAAGAAGTATTTGATTTTTCATCAGGTCAAATGACACAGGCAAAAGCTAAACATTTAAAAGATACAATGTGTAATGAATTTACAAAAATTTTTCAACTCTGCGAATATGTTGTGGTAAATATAATCTTTTTTATACAACACAAATTCTTTGGGACAAATATATTCTTAATGTCTAACTGAAGTCTCAATAAGGATTTCGATAATCTATAACATATATTATACAAGAAAACTTTTAGAAAATATTCATGAAATTCGAATCGGACAAAGTCGTTCGATAGATCATTTGGAATAATACGCGCTATATCGTGACAGTAGTTTGATTCTTGAATGGTTGACTATCTTCTGATCATCATTCCATTGCGATATATCGAAAGAAGAATACTCCTACTTTGTGGCATAGCGCCAAACTTCTTTGCCGAATATCTTGTCGACAATTAATACTACCTGTAGCTCTGGAAAGAAGACCAGCCTGACGCAGAATTCACCCATACATACTTATTAATCACAAGAGTAGGATTATGTGACAGCATTGCCATGAGGGTTCTGCTATAGAGCGATGTGAGTACTTTGAGCTAAAGTCTGAGATTAAGAATGCAGAAAATCCTATGTAATTCTTTGTAATTAACCGTTATTCTTGCGAACAACTTAAGATCTATTTCGGTTACGACATAACATATTCGATTAGAATTTTTCTGTGTAAAGAAAGAAGAATATTTGAAAACATTATTTTAATTTCAGTTACATTCTCACAACTATCAGAATATTATTTGCATAGTTCTTCGTTATTTTTATAACAAACATAAATTCGATTGTGTTTTTTTTGTTATATAGGATAAATCTCGTCATCCACCATTACTTTTGGTTACATTGGAAACACTTTTACGTTTTCTCAGTTGGATTCCACTTGGTTATATATTTGAAACAAATATGGTTAATACACTTATTGAAACATTTTTTACTGTACCAATGTTTCGAAATGTAACACTTCGTTGTTTAACTGAAATTGGTATTTATTTAATATAAAAATAAATAATTTATTTTATATATTGAGAGTTTTGTTTTGTGTCTAGCTAGTATTCAAGTTTCACAGTATGAAGATAAATTTATTGATTTTTTTCGTCGAACAATGAGTCAACTTAAAACAGTAAAAATAAACAAAATTTTCTTTTCTTTTATTATTTCAATTTTTTTTTATTATTAATTAAATAGATAATGCCATTAACAATTGATTTAAAAGCTGCATATCGTTCAGCAAAAGATGATGATCAAAAATTCATACAAAATTTAGCTTTATTTTTATCAAATTTTTTAAAAGAACATGGTGTATTAATTGAACGTACAGCAGATTTAAAAGAAACATTACTTGAATCATTACAATATCTTGTTTTAATATCTGAAGTTGAAGAAATTGAAATATTTAAAATATGTTTAGAATATTGGAATATATTAAGTGCTGAACTTTATCGCGAAGTGCCATATCAACAGACAACACCATTATATATTCGAAGTACAAATAGTACAAATAATATACCAACACGTCGACAGTTTTATGCTGTTATTTTATCAAAAGTAGAAAAATTTTGATTATTTTTTTTTGATTATTATTGTTTTAATTAAAAAAAAAATTAGATTCGACGAATAATGATATCACGTATGGCTCGACCTGAAGAAGTACTTGTTGTAGAAAATGAACGTGGTGAAGTTGTACGAGAATTTATGAAAGATACTGATGCAATTAATCTTTATAAAAATATGCGTGAAACACTAGGTAAAGAATTTTTGCAGAGAAAAAACAGATTCGAACGTGTTCTTTTTCTAGTATATTTAACACATTTGGATTATATCGACACGGAATCGATTATGACAGAAAAATTAGCAAATCAAGTTAATGGATCAGAATGGTCATGGAAAAATTTGAATACTGTAAGTTTTTATATGAAGTAATAAAAATAAAATAAAGTTACTGTATAAGATTGTGAATAGTAAAGTGTTTAATAAGATAAAACGAATCAATATGATGTTTTTAATAGTTGATAGTAACAATTTCTTCAAATGAAAATTTATTTCAAGTCATTAGATATTTCGAGAATATGAAATGTTTCAGAATCATTGAACTGAGTCAATAAAATATATAAATCTATTTTCTTCTTTCTGTAAACTTCAGCATGATAAAAATTCTTTTTTTTTTGCTACGCTATTAAAAAAATATCGATTCGTTTGTTTATCAATTTATATTTCCAATAGAAATAGGAAAACAAATTGCATTTAATAAGCAGTCCATTTTACATTCAAATAGAAATACTCTTCGGTTCATGTTTTTTTCTTTATGTTGCTTCTTTTTCTATTCTTCAATTCCATTCCTTTCTCTCATATTAATAAATTTATTTCTCTAACGAGAGAAGATGTCTACATGATTAAAATTGTTTGAGTACATATTGTGTCCAGTTGTAGGAGATTGATAGACTAGGCTACCCTCCAATGGATTCCTGCTGACGCTCAGATTTGAACGAGATATTGATTCTTTAGTGAGTTTTCTCTGCATTGACTCAGTTTTTGGACAAAATCCTATTATCGAATTTTGATCTGAAAGCATTGCCTAGATAAAGATCTCAGTTAGACTTGCTGTTGCATAAAATTTCTTGAAGCCTATTCAAATCTATTGATCCCCTACCAGTGGGCAAAATATGGATTCAAAAGCTTTTAACCATCTCTAGACCTTCTCTCATAAGTCATAGATTCTATGCTTAAATAATCATCAAATCCTTTTTTTCATTTTTAGCTTTGCTGGGCCATTGGTTCAATATCAGGTGCAATGGTTGAAGATGATGAAAAGCGTTTTCTTGTTACTGTTATTAAAGTAAAATTACTATCTATGATAATTTATTTTTATTACTTGAATCTTTTAGGAATTACTTGGTTTATGTGAACAAAAACGTGGTAAAGATAATAAAGCTATTATAGCATCAAATATCATGTATGTTGTTGGTCAATATCCACGTTTTCTTCGTGCACATTGGAAATTTCTTAAAACAGTTGTTAATAAACTTTTTGAATTTATGCACGGTATTGAATTTTTTTTGTTCTTTTTCCTTCCTTTCAAAATAAAATATCATTCATTTCTCTTAATAGAAACTCATGAAGGTGTACAAGATATGGCATGTGATACATTTATAAAAATAGCCCAAAAATGTCGCCGTCATTTTATAACAATTCAATTAGGTGAATCACAACCATTTGTTGATGAAATTTTAACAAATATAAATGGTATAATATGTCATTTGGAACCACATCAAGTTCATACATTTTATGAAGCTGTTGGCAATATGATAGCAGCTAGTATTGATGTTGTACAACAAACAAAATTAATTGAAAAATATATGCAATTACCAAATGATGTTTGGAATACAATTATATCTGAAGCTAAAAAATCTGTTGATTGTTTACAAGATCCTGAAGTTGTTAGTAATATATTAAACATACTTAAAACAAATATTCGTGCATCAAAAGCATTAGGTGCACCATATGTTCATCAATTAATAAAAATTTATCAAGATATGTTACATATATATAAAGTAACATCAGAAAATATAAATCAAGCTATAAGAATAAATGGACCAATGGTTGTTAAACAACGTTTAATTAAATCAATGATGGCTATTAAAGAAGATACATTAATATTACTTGGTAGTTATTTTTCAAAAGCAAATAATATACAACAGATACTTGATCAATTTTTAACACCATTATTTACATTTGTATTAGTTGATTATCGTGATTGTCATCCTGAAGCACGAGAATCAGAAGTATTAAATATGCTAGCTACATTAGTAAATAAAGTTGAAAATCGTTTAACAAATCGTATAGCAGATATATTTGATTTAACATTTGAACATACACTTCATATGATAGATAAAAATTTTGAAGATTATCCTGATCATAGAAAAAATTTTTATATTTTACTTCAATCAGTTATAAATGTTTGCTTTACAGGTAAGTTTATTGAGAAAAATTTATGAAAAAATAATTGTTTTCTTCATCTATTTTTAGCATTATTAGCATTGAATGCAACACAATTTAAACTTGTTTATGATTCAATTATGTGGGCATTAAAACATACAATGCGTACAATATCAGAATTAGGTTTAGAAATTCTTCAAATAGTGTTAAGAAAATTTCAAACATGTGATCCACAAGCAGCACAAACTTTTTATCAAGTTTATTATCTTGAAACAATGCAACATATTTTTGCTGTTGTTGCTGAATGTTCACATACATCTGGTATGAATATATTTATTTGTATTATTATATCTTAGAAAGATCAGATAAAATCAAAGTAAATCATTATTATGAATCTGAGAGTTTTTGCTGATGAATTGAATTTGTACATTAATGGGTTGTGTTAGATTCATTTTTTCTAACGCAATCTCATGAAGGTGTAAAACATTTATAGAAAGCCGAAAATTTTAGGTGGGAAACCACCCTAGCCGGAAATTCTGCATAGACATCATGTTTTGTAGAAAAATATTTTCTCAAAGTACTCGTAGTAGATAAAAAAATAAACTCAAGTACGTCGATCTATTTTAAATTAGTCTAGCCTTCGTAATAATCTCATTTGATGGAAGTAAATCTTCTCAAAGAAAACATGCTCCCTTGTAGAGCCTGTTGGGTCTAAAATTTTCGAATCGGAGCTCGACAGGCTCTACTCTTATGTTCATATCATCGATGGTGTACACGATTCTTTTCGTTGACTCTTTAAAGTATAGTATCTACTAAATTACTTAACAATGCTTTTATGCAATCTAAGCATGAACATGTTTGGTACTGTCACAGATATATATATATTCTTGTTCTATTTCAATAAGTCATTGATTTGATTAATGTAAAACAAATATTATAATTGATAACAATATTTTGTTGAATTAGTTTTTATTAATAATTGTTTATTGTTTTCTTTCTCAAAGGTTTAACAGCGCATTCACAAATTTTGGCTAATCTATTTTTAATTGTTGAACAAGGTCTTATTAAAGTTCCATTAGCACCTGAAGTACAAGATCCATCACAAAATTTACTTTATGTTCAACAATTTATGGCTAATTTATTAAAAACCGCATTTCCACATTTACAAGATAATCAAGTTAAAGTTATTATCGAAGGTTTTGTTACATTAGATCAAGATATTGCTGGTTTTAAAGAACATTTACGTGATTTTCTTGTTCAAATACGTGAAGCAACTGGAAATGACACAGCTGATTTATATTTAGAAGATCGAGAACAAACATTAAAACGTGCAGCTGAAGAAAAACGTAAAATACAAATGAGTGTTCCCGGTTAGTAAAAATTAAAATTTCAAAAAATAATAAGAAATAAAAAAACAATTAAATTCTTCGTTTTATTTTAGGTATTCTTAATCCTCATGAAATTCCCGAGGATATGCAAGATTAAATAATCTTTACAATTTTATTCATGCGTGTCTATTATTTGTATGTTCTTTTTAAGTCAAAACAAGAAACATAAAAAAATAGATAAAAAATGAACAATTTTGATATTATTGTATGTGTATTTGCTCTCTCAGGAAGATCTTTAAGAGCTTTGCGTGTATTTGAACAGTTAGAAAAAAAAACAAATAAACAATAATTAAGAGAGCCGTTTATCATGTTTATCGTATTCATTGTCTGTGTATATATATATGATTATTTCATTTAATTTCTTTTTTTTTTCTTTTTCTCATTACTGTTGTTGTTCTTTATTAGAGATAAGATGAAGCCAAGAAAATTTTTACCCGTTGATCATTTAACTGAAAAACAAAAAGAAAACCAAGGGCAATAACAAAAAAAATTAAATATATATATGTTCTTTCGTGTTGTCTATTTCCTCTTTTTTTGTTCTTCTTGTTCGTTTCAACAAAAAAAAAAACATTAAGAAAAAAAGCGTTCGACGCGTACCTATAAATATATATATATCTTAGTATCGTAGATATTTCAATTTGAAGAACACTTCTCTTGTTGTTTGATTGTTGTTCTTGTCAACTTATGTATTACATTGTGCATTCGAAGAAAAAAAAACTAGAAATAAACAAGAAAAGAATAGTGGAAAATTGAAAAATGTTCATATTATTGTTTTTAACTTTTTTAACACAATGAGAACTGCGTAGTTGTCAAAAAAAGAAGAAAACAAAGTTTCAAATTGATATTGTTTCTTATTTGAACTAGGGAGGGAAAGAGAAATTACAAGAGAATTACTTTTTCTTTTTCATTAAGCTGAAAGTATTCAGCTGTCAATGGTACGTAATCAACATTAAATATTTGATGCGATGGAATAAGTAAAAAAACGACGGGAAAAAAAGGAAATGTCATTATTTTGTCGGTTGTCTTACTAATATTTTCTATATGAGCAGATTGGAACAAATGGAACAAGACGACGGCAATAACTACGATACTGATTTAGATGATGAGAAAACAGGTACAGTGTTGATTGTATTTTGAAAGGATAGTGAATACTTTTGAATGTTTTGCTCCGAATAGACAACAGTGACTATCTGATCTTTATTTTGTAGTAATAGTAAAGCTCGTATAAATTAGTCATACTAAGAAAATCAATTGATTTAATAGAGAACTTAGTTCTGGACAACTCTGCATTATTCACTTTAACTCAGAATATAGACTTGATTGCAGAAATTCTACCAAATCCTTTAATGCAACTTAAGTATTTTGGCTAGCAACTGTCAGGTGCAGAATTAGAGAAATTTTACGGACAATGAATATTTAACAACTATTGAATGAAACTAAAATTAACTCTAGATATTTTCATCCTCAGGTAACCTTACAACCGTGAATCAAATGTTACTAAACGATGTAGAAGTTCATTGTGTGAAAAGTCGTAAAGCATATGTTGTGAACATTAATTAGCAATAGAAAACTCGGTATTTTCTTTTATTTATGATCTCGAATAATATGCGTTCTATTCAACAAATAGTTCAAAAATACTTTTACTTTAATACATATATGTATATATATAAGAAAATACTCGATAATAGTAGTATAATAGTGGCCGGTTCTCACTGATCAATTTTTATATTAATGAATATTCATTTCTTTAAAGTATTCTGCTGTAGATAAAAGACCAATCGCACCGCTCTAAAATACAAAACAGTATTGTTTTCATACATATGATAATGTGAAATTAAGAGACTGTATCATATGAAATTAAAAATGAGTCATTCATGAACAACAATAACCAAAAACCCTTGTACAAGTAAAAATTTCTATCACCGTAAGGTACTTACAATCGGCTAAGTTTCGCTTCTATTGCTCAAGTCACTTGATAGAAGTTACAATACAATATTAGTAATACTACTAAGAACGTATTACATTAATTATCTAGATGCTTGTGTGAAATCAATATTGTTAGTTATCATTTAAATCATATAAAATAGTAGTAGATGTTCAATTTATTACTGAAATTTCTTTTAATATAATTTGTGTTTAACAATATTTAATATAACTCATTTTTATTTACAAACACAAAATAGAATTCAATTTGTTAGAATATATAGACAGTTATAATCAGGGTTGTATTCTGAAACGCTAAACGAATAATTGGAAATTGATATACTAGGTTGTTTTTCTCTGCTAGTTACAATTTCATGTAATATGAGTTGAACTAACGTAAGTAGACGTTTTAGTCTTAAGTTTTTGTTCACAAGTTCAGCTGCTTATTTATAATGTAATATAAACTTGTTGACCTATTTTAATTTTTCTTCGAACACAAATAGCTAAAAGCATTGTGTTTCCATTATTATCAGGCATTAATATATAATTTTTCAATGTGTTAAAAAAAAATAGTTCTCGTTCTGTATACAGTAGTGAAAGAATATAAGCATATAGAGCATTTTATTAGTCGCTTTTTTATATTGTGAAACATTATATCATAACAGAAGAATATTTAACAGGTTTTGTTTTTGGAAATTGTTGATTTACCGGTTTACTTATGTTAACGATACTATTTATTATGAAAAAAGTCTCAGCTTTACATGAGCAACTATTTGATTAGTATTCCATATCACTGCAGTGTTGCTTGAAGTTTGATACCCGGTAGAGAGTAGACCAGAATTGTTACAAATTGAATTCTCACTTTCCGATAGCATATGCAGCGATCTTCCAATAATATATATATTTCTATAGAAAATACGGATGTTTGTCTTTTACTAACTATTTTGCAATACATCAACTAGATTAAATCTATTGAGAACAAACTAAAGTGTCTATTAATCAACCGAGATAATTTCGTTTCATGAAAAAATAGTTGTTGAAAAAAGTGTCATTCTACTTTAAATATTCCTTTCATCCCATTGTATACGATACAATGTGCAAAACGTTTTTTATATACAATTAAAAACATTAGTACATCCATTCGTTTTATTAAATGAAGTTTACATAAGTTTTTGTTGAAGAATAAATCTGGAAATAATTTATTTTTAATGATTTCCTCAAAAATTCTATTTAAACACTTCCAATATCAAGTCGCCTTCAAGACAAACAAGATAGTATAGTTAAGAAAAATGATTAATAAACATAAGTACCAAGAGTCATCAAAAGTTACGAAATAGACATTTTTTCAGAGAATATAGAGATCAAAACATGCATAACTATCATAATTCATAATTGTGAATTCTACAATTGCTGAAAGTTTGAAGTCAAAATATTTGAGATTCTATTTGTACACAAATCTTCGTACATTTTCTCTCGCCATTTAAAAAGAAGAAGAAGAATTATATACATATTGTTTGAATATTTTAAAGATCAAAATGATGAATATACACCAAGGCGATTAACATTCGATGAAAAATTAGCAGCTCATCATAGTAATCGATTGAATCAAACATTTGGTCAAATAAATGTGCCCTATGAATATCAATCAAAAGTTGAAAAAGAAATCAATGATGAAACTCTCGTTCCATTACGATGTAAAACATCACATAAGACTAGTAATTAATATTATTATTCATAAAAAAATAAAAAAAGACTCTTTACGTTTTTCTTTTAGCAAGAGTTCAAATGTATGAAAATAGTTGTCAAGCACTTGATATAACAAGTGATTGGCAAATACGAGATCTTCTTCCATATGATAATATTGCTATTATTGATCGATCATTTTCTTTTAATGATTTTCGTGCATTTGCTACTGCAATTGAAGCAAATCTTGAAAGTTTAACATTAAATTCAGTGGGTTTAACATCACGTTCAATTTGTGTGCTATGTCAAGCGTTAAACCAATGTGTTTATCTTAATTTATTGGTAAAATAAAAGAAAACAAACAATCTATTCTATTATTTTCACTTGAACTTTTTTCTTGTTCCCTTTTCTTAGGATTTATCAAATAATAAAATTGGTAAAAAAGGTTTTGAATCAATAGTTGATACACTTAACTTTCTTCCATCATTACTTTATTTATCGTTGGCGAATTGTGGGCTTGAAGATTCCTATGGTGTTCGAATTGGTGATTTATGTCGACATAAAAAACTTTCGGAATTAAATTTAAGTGGGAATGATCTTGAAGAAAATGCATGCATCTTTATTGGCAATGCTTTAAGTTTGTATTATTATTATTTTGTGAAACACTATGTAAACAGAATGTTGATGGACATAGGGTAGACACTTGCAACTTTTCCACAAAGCATAACATACATCTTAGCAATGACACATCAGGTATCTTATCAACACCTTCTCTCCCCTTGGATCCCGTCGAGTCCAAAATTTGTGGATCTAGATCGGTAAAGATATACATCCCAAAACAGATAGAATAAAACAATTTCTCAGCGATTAGCAACACTAGATATATTGTGTTTCACATTTTCATCCCACACGGATTGTGCCAACAGCTTTTCTTTCTAGCTGAAAATACAAGTTTGTCGTATTTAAATTTAAGTTGGAATTTAATTCGAAGTGTGGCATCAGTTGCTCTTTTCCGAGGAATTGAAGTAAGAGTTTTTGCTTTTTATAGAAAAAAAATTGTTTTTTGTTCTTATTAACTTAAAAAGGTTAATCAATCTTTGATAGAACTTGATTTATCATGGAGTGGTCTTAGCTACGATGGAAGTGTTGCACTTCGTCGAGTTTTAATTGTTAATAAAGTTTTACAACGTTTAAATATAAGTAATTGTAACATTGAATGGATAAGTGCAAAATTAATTAGTGAAGGTTTAATAAAAAATTCAACACTTCATATATTAAATGTAAATGAAATTTTATTTTAAAGTAATAGTTTTGGTTTATTTTTATATGTCGACCTGTTAGCTTGCTTATAATCCAATAACAACACATGGTGTTCAATATATCATTCAAGCAATAAATGTAAAGACAAGTGCAGTTTCTATGCTTGATATATCGGTACGATTCGACTTACGGTTAATTTTTTTGTTTTTAGTTGATTTAAATTTATTTAGGGTATAACTGTTTATACTTCAACTGTTCATCTTGCTGACAAAATTGCACAGCGCAGAGATTTTATTTTGAAATATGATTTTGAGATGCCTGTACACGATATACTTGGTAGAGAAACAGGTAAATATTAAGGATGATCAAAAAAAGATTGATCAAGAAGACAGACATTGAACTAGTATATTCACCTATAATTGTCAGAATGAGAAAAGTATTCCTGCCTTTCGCCTATCTACTAACTAACTATAAGAACAGGTATATGTCACTACGTAGTTAACATGCTATGGGATGGTTTATCCTAGATAAACAGTCGTTAGTAACTTGTTTAAGATCATTCCATGACTGGCGATACCAAGATTTAAACTCAGCATCTAGTAGATACGTGCCAAACAAAGCAGTCACTCAGTCATGATGACTCGGTTATCAAAATAATTATAATAATCCATAGACAGGAAATTCTACATTATTATTTGTTTTTTATTTTTATTCTCCATATATCAGTTACAAAAGGTGATTCAATGCGTAAAGTTATTCAATATATCGATGAAAGACAATGGCGTGCGTTAGAATATTTCCGAATGTTGGATAAAACCAATCAATTACAATTGGAAAGGAAAACTGTTACCTTAGATATCGTGGTAAGAAATTTTCATGTAAAACGTTTTGTTCTTTGCATATTTTTTCAATGTGTATATGAAAACGTAAGAAATCAGGTGTACAACTTCAAAGGGAAGATATTCGAAACATTCATCAACGTTTTACAAAAGATGCAGCACAACCATTAACATATAAGTATGGAAAAAGAAAAGATTTCAGATTGGTTTTCATATTGTTGTTTTCTTTTAAAGAAATTTAAATATGATTTTTAATCAACAACGAATGCGTGATCGATCATTGAAAGCTCGTCAAGAAAAACAAGCAAAAGATATGAGAAAACATAATCGAAAAATTCTACAAACTGTCAGTCATCATTTTCCAGATATTGAAATTATTACTAGATATCAAAAACATAAAGAAGCTATTGAACGATTGGCTAAACCACGTACATACAGTGCTTGTCCTAAAGTCTGATTTTCTTTTTTGAAAAAATAAATTATATTTTTATGGTGCGAAGTATTCCTACTTTCTTGACACATAACTCGAATAGCTATTTTTTGTATCATAATGATATAAAAATTGGAGAGTTACACTATATTCATTCAAATATCATCGCAAAGTTTTATATTCCTATTAATCGAAGCTTCAATATTTATGACTGCACATGAATATAATAGATTTAATTTACTTCCAGACTGATAAAAGTTGTTGAGCATTGTTATAAGGCACACAGTGTCAGCTAAGCATATCTGTGGTTTCCATTGATTAGACGAAGATCATGACACAATTCTTTGTTTTCAACAACAGTTTATTATGTTATCATCAGTAAAAGTATAAATTCAATTCAATAAAATTTTTGTTCACTGTTCAATTACAATTCATGGTTTCTGTTCATATGACGATACAACTGACTTCGGATTTTTAGTTTATATAGCTGCAGAGCTTCTTTTGAACTAGATATAAATGATGAAGTTCTCCTTTTCAAGTACCACATATCATAATAATTGATTCGAAACTCTCATGAAAAATTGTTATATATGGTAAAATCTACAGGGTATTACAAAATTATAGACCTCCTAACATACGCAGACAAAAATGCTTATTTTAATTTCACAACAAATAGTATTCATATGGTTATAGTATGGGTAGATGGGAGTCAACAAGCACTATTTAGTCCTATCATTTGCTCCCATCAATCTCTTGCTTTTAGAACAAAAAGTTCGATAAGAGTGAAAAAGCTGTTAGTGCAATCCCTGCGGGATTAAAATGTGAAACACGATGTAGCCGTTGTTACTAGTGACACGAACACGGTTTTCTTCGATATACCTTGAACCCCCTTTATTCATCATTTTGTACTTAATTCTCTAGAACTGCAACAAGGAAACAATTGATATATTTTTATGAGATTCTAAGCACTTTAATGAAACATAGAGATCCTTTAACAAGTTTTATGAAAAAAAAGTTTATTTATATATACTTTACAAAGATATATGCCAGTGAGTGATTATTCTCTTCAAATATACCAAAAAATCATATAAAAGGATAAGAATCTTGAAAAATTTCAGTTCAAAAAATGTTTTTTCGTTTTTTCTCGGTTTATGATTTTTTGATTTTGCTTCCAAGATTTCTCGGTTCAGTGTCTTTCAACATATATAATTTCTTTTTGTTTGAAAGAGCACGTCAAGATGCAGGGCACCACAGAGTCCTTTTTTTTATTACATAAACAGACATTTATGTAACTAGACATTCATTTTTGGCGCGTTTTTTGAGTCATTGAACTTGCGATCCCCTTTCTCCACTAAAAAAGTAAGAATTTTAAAAAAATGACTATGTGGTGCCCTGCATCCTGACATGCTCTTTCTAACAAAAGAAAAACAAAACATAATGCTTGAGCCTGGACCGAGAAATCTTGGAAGTAAAATGAGCTATTTTTGACTCTTGTTTGGTTCATATCTCTGTCAAACATCAGGGTATCGAGCTGAAAATCTTACAACAGCCTTCTCACTTCAGCCCCAACATATGCTCCAAATTTCAGCCCATTTTAGCATACCTGGGCTGAGATCGGTTTTTGAGTGGGGGGGGGGGGGGGGGTAAAAAAAAAAACGGTGTAAAACCCTGGGCCCCGAAAAATCTTAAAAGAAATGTGTGGGGGGTTTTCTTTCTTATATTTAATGTGTTAAAACGGATTTAACGAAGATATTAGGTGAGTGAACGCGTTTTAACGTATGTATTCTATAAATTAGAGAAATGAATTCGTTTTAGCATAAACATACCGTTCGTTTAAATGCATTAGAATAGAAAAAATGATTAAAAAAATCAGCGTGCCTTGAAATAAATTTCTATCGGACAAAAAATGAATAGGAAGTAAAGCAAATGACTCTGAAACTTTTATGGATAAGTGCCCCAATTCGATGGGAAAATCCCCAAAAAATCAGAATTACGAAACGGATGAAATTTAACATACGTTCTGGTAGAATAGCAAGCATTTTGATCAAAGATTTATAATGAATAAATTCGATTAGTAATCGATGTCAGAGTACATGGACCACATGCTTACATCGGTAAACATGGTCATTTATCCACCAAGTATCTGCTAGGAATGTTGATGTCATTGTCAGTTTGCTATTGTGTGATATCTACGTCAACAAAGTATAGCTGTATGCACTGGAGATCGATATAAATAAGGTTAATTATAGAAATTTTATTTTGTAAACAGTTTGTAGCAATGAACTTGTCGAGTATCCATATTAGGTTTTTGTTTGAACTCGAATTCTAAATTCCTTGATAAAAATTTAGAAAAATTGAATTTTATTAATTTTTATGATTAAAAATCGATGGAAGGTACACTATTTCGATCAGATTTCGAATTAAAAAATAACTAAACACGTTATATTCTCGAGTTTTAAATTAAAAAAATCGACTTTTTCATTGCTTTTCAGGACTTCCCACTAAACGAGTAGTAAATATGCTGTTTAATCAACCTTCAACAAATATACAATGGTTTAAGATTCGATACCATGTGACATTTATTCATTGATCAAAAGGGAAATAGAAAGAAGATGAAAATTAACTTTAAAATTTTAATAAATTTCCTGATATAAAAAATCTGATAATGTGATTAATAATCTCATTAAAATTTCTTAAAAAATCTAACAAATTAATAAGGATCGATTTTTAGAAATTGATTTGAATTCAAATAATATTCTGATGAAAATTGGATCAAATTAGTACTATTGTAATTGGTTTTTAATCACCAAAGAATATTAAAATCCACTATATGCGATTTCTTATTTAAATGGGTTAACTGCTACTATAGATAGTTGTGCAAGTGTATACACTGAAGGTTGGTCAATTATAAGTAGAGGTGTAAGCCATTCAGCTGCGCCGCCGCCCAGAGCTGGGCAAGTTGAAGGTTTCTCAAGTCACAAGTCAAGTCAAGTCACTAAAAAAACTTTCAAGTCAAGTCAAGTCAAGTCACGTCCCAAAATTTTTTCGATCAAGTCAAGTCAAGTCAAGTCACACCTCAAAATTTTTTCGACCAAGTCAAGTCAAGTCAAGTCATATTCCAAAATTTTTTCAACCAAGTCAAGTCAGTCAAGTCAAATCAAGTCAAGTCAAATCAAGTCAAGTCAAGTCAAGCCAAGTCAAGTCGTTTCTCGAAATTTTTTTCCTAGAAGTTAAGTCAAATCCGATTAAAAGTTAGGCAGAACATGACATTTACTAGCACTTATCGGATGAGAATCAATTTTTATAGTCTCAGAATTCTATTTCATGCTAAAAAACAATACCTATAAGAAACAGAACTGGGCAAGTCAGAGGCTTCTCAAGTCACAAGTCAAGTCAAGTCACTAAAAAAACTTTCAAGTCAAGTCAAGTCAAGTCACAACCCAAAATTTTTTTCGACCAAGTCAAGTCAAGTCACGTCCCAAAATTTTTTCGATCAAGTCAAGTCAACTCAAGTCACGTCCCAAAATTTTTTCGATCAAGTCAAGTCAAGTCAAGTCAGACTTGACTTGACTTGACTTGACTTGAGGCATTTTTGACTTGACTTGCCCAGCTCTGCCGCCGCCGCTGTGAAAAAGTTAGTTCAGCCGTTGCGCCGCCGCCACTGATATTCTTAGGAGCAAAAACGTTTTTTTTTGCTTTTTTGGGTTGTCAAAGCCGCCGCCACCATGGAAAAAAACCAGACCATTAAAACAGCCGCCGCCGTTTGACCCTTCGGCTTACACCTCTAATTATAAGTTGAAAATTTAAATTTAGTAGCAATAAGCCAGTTTAGTGTACTGGTATATCGGCTGCTTCGTAAGTATAAGTCCTTTTGAACGAATCTATATTGAAGCATTAACAAACTGGTTGAAACGCGTCTCTGAAGTCAAAGTATACGTTTAAACGACATCGATCCACTGGTGTTGAAATTTTCTTGTAAAAAGCATTTAACTTATCAAAAGTGGCCGCTTTTTTGCGTTTTAACGCATTTGCTTCTTAAACGCGTTTAAACGCTGATGTTTCCGCTGAGTACAACGAGTGTATAATCAGCATTAATTCAACCGTTAACAAGCAAAAATTAGAACATTTGTTGAATGTTAAGGTTCCCCTCCCCCTAAAAAAAAAGTCAATTTTCGTCAGAAATTTCGAAATTCAGATAAATGAGTAGAAAGATAGCCCATCTTCAGATCTTTCAGAAATGATATGAATTTTTTGGCAACACCTCTTCTTTCGCGAAAAATTTTAATCATTTCTGTCATCTATTGCACAAAAAATAACAGGCCTTTTTCGAAAAAAATAGAAAATGTTTTCCGTTTTTTCTCAGTTTACGTTTTTCCCAACGCACATCCCAAAATTCTGTCTAGGCTCATCCTATATATTAATTTTTTTTTCTTGGGAAGAGTGTCAAAAACTGTACGTCCTGTGAGACTTCGATTGTTGAACGAAGCGTTGTTATTACTATATTCAAAAGGATTTTTATAATTAGGGCGCGCTTTTTTGAGAATTTTTCGAGTGAATGAACTTGTCAACCATTTTCTCTGCTTGATAGATAAGAGTTTAAAAAAAGAACCTTCATAGGTCGTGCATCTTGACATGCTCTTTCAAACAAATATATATACAGTAGTGGGCAAAATTATAAGAACAGACAGTTTTTTTAGTGTTTTCATTTCATTTGTCTTTACTTTTCATCTGCTCGAAATAGTTCATGTATCTATACATATGCATTCCGACATGCTCTATCCAAAACTGAACTCGGATTTCCTCGTTTTCAATATGAAG